GACTTGTTGGATCATTGAACCGGGCCGGTTTGTGTGTGCTGGATCACTGAACCGGGCTGGTTTGGCTTGTTGGATCACTGAACTGGGCCAGTTTGACTCGCTCTGAACCCGAATCAAAACTGTCTGAACCGGTCTGAACCACTGAAATTGGGTTGAACCGAAACCAACTGGGGTTGGATCAAATTTGGGTTGACCCGAAGTGGATCGGGTCTGGGTGTTTCTTCTTCGTTGGTTAGGGTTGCAGAAAACCCTCTTCTGTGCTGACTGCACCTCAATAGCCACGCCACCACCACTAAGCTCGTCGACTGAGCAACACCACAATTGACCACAAACAACACAAACCGAACATCGGCAAACACAAGACCACCACCAACACACACCGAACTTCGGCAAACACAGTACCACCACAACAGACCACCACCAACAACACCACCACAACAGGATTCCGATAAACACAGTACCACCATAGCCAGTATCAACACCACCACAATAGTAGCACCACCACGACGACAGTACCAACACCACCATAACAGTAGCAACAGTAACACCTCTACCAACAAAATTTATTCAGAATATATATTTATGATCGTAATTGCTCTGATACCATGTTAAGTTTGAAAGATTAACACAATATTAGAGACAATATTTAGTGAGAAAGAGAGAGGTTAACAACCTAACCTAGCTCTCATACAACACTTATATTTATAGTTAACTCACAATAATAAGAATTATACATACACCCTCTTACTATTAACAATTTACATATATTACCCTAATATTCTTAACAAATGCTATAGCTGTTTTCGTTTTTATCATTGGCAATCACCGACATCACTCTGAGACAATTCCCGGAATTTGGTTACTGTATAGATAGATTATTGAGGGTTGTACTGATAGTTGACAAGACTTTGTGATGCCGGACATCTAGTATCAGATTTCATGGAATAATTAATCACGCAGAATCCAACTAGCACTAGTAGCTTAAGCAGTTTAGTTCCACCGTTTAAGACGTCAAGTAGTCACTTCGTTATTTTAGTTATGGAAGTCAAAATTGTTCACCACCGGTTCTGCCTTGATTCTAGGTCTTAGTATTAGTTGTTTTCCCATTTAATCAATTTTGCTATGTCAATTAATTTCATGTTCTAAAATAATAGGACTAGTTCATTACGAACAGGACTGTCAGCCACAAGGCAAAGTGAAATTTTCAGCAATAATATTCTTGTGGATTGATGGATTCCATCTTGTGGGTATTGACATTGATGTGTCCCTTCAACATCTTCTGTTGCATCACTTTTCCTTACCCGGTCATGCTGCATGTGCTTACAAGTTACAATTCTCCCTGTGGAAGCTGCTGTGTGGCTGGGGAAGTCGTAGATTGTTGTTGCCCTAAACAATGCTGAAGCAAAAAAGCGGATAAGTACTTTTTTCTCTATTCTTCTAATCAGACTTCCGTAGCTTATCAGAAAAAAAGGGAGTGATGGGCATATTGACATTTACACACATATATGTTGGACATTTGTAGTTTTGTTGCTGGCACATGCAGACATGTGAAGGTCGTCGCCGGCAGTATTGTAAACTGTGATGACTGGGAGATACTGATAGGATGGTTGTTAATAGTGTGTCACACATGAGACCTTCTTTGGCTTGGAATATAGATTGCTTAAGTAGGTTTGTTTACACTTTTATGGAAGTGGGAATGTTATACATTAGATATATATTAGACACTCTTTTCGGTTATGTTATTAGTGGTATTCTAGACACATATCTTATATCCATATTGTGGTTTCATGGTTGCCTTAGATATTCTAGACATTACGAAGTGTTCATTTAAGCTAGAAATCTTAGTTGCATTGACAAATGTTGGAGAGAATTTGTTTGAACCACCATATCAGGTGTGACCAATAAAATACTTTCTAAAATAAGGGACTTTATCATGTTGCTTTGAAGCAGTAATCCAAAGTCTCTTTCTCTCTTCCCCCCCTCCCAAAAAAAAAAAAAATCCTGATGTAAGCCATGGTTGGTTTGGTCGGTGTTCCATATATAGTCTATAAATACAAACTTTTTTCAGTCTGTCACAAATCATTTTCGGTATCCTTCTGCATGGTTTGGAATACACTGGCAAAAGTTCTCTCCTAGGCGAAATGAAGTTATAGGTTTTCTCAAAAAGTCGGGAAGTCTTGAATTTATGAATCAGCTATCTACCTTTAAGACCAAATCAGTGGGATAGTTCAATGCAAACTATACTGAACCAATATGGCTCCTTGCCCAAGAAGCTCTGGTCTGGTGTGTCCTTTGCCCAATTAACATTGTTGCCCTCTTTCCTTTTCCCAGAAAGACTTCAGTTTCCAATTTAATTCTGACACCTTCACATAGCGGAAACAAAATTTGCTGCTCCATTTGAAAGGAGGAATTTTGAAGAATCTAAATAACCAAACCAAAACGAACGAAACAAAACCTTGTACCAACTATTTGGGGTTTACAACTTACGTGAATCCTTTTTGGCCATTAGGCTAAATCAAGTGCTATATGTTTGTTTAAATTACAAACGGGCGTACTCTTCATCACTATCTCATCATTCCATGTCAATTTTGCTCTTCCATTTCTACTTAGAGGTGATCATGTTAGTTATTCAAGTTAGTGCACCTATTGGTCGTTGTTGCACGTGTCTATGCCCATCCTAATTGTTCTCGTTGAGTTTATCTTCAATTAGTAATTATTACTCCTTATTGTCTCACACTTGCATTCATATGTAATTCTATCTTTATTAGTCTCCCCACACATGTATCTTTATATTCTCATTCAGTTTGATTGGTGTCCGTTGATTGTACAATATGCCATAAGCACCTCTTCACTTGAGCAAATATATTTTAGTTATATGTCCCATATTCTCTCTCTCTCTCTCTCTCTCTCTCTCTCTCCCTTACCGTTTCTACTTTCATATATGTAGTTTTGTTCCAACTTATTTTAAACCCTCTTTATTTTAGTGCTTCTCTTCAAATTTTTAATCTAGCGTTGTTGTTTTAATATCTTCAACTAAGACGATATCATCAAGAAGTAGTATAAGCATGGGACCATATCCTAAATGTATCTCAAAAATTCACCTATAACTTAGGCTAAAAAATAGTCTTAAAGTTGATCCTCAACAGACATTCAGTTGTTTCACCAACGGTTGATCTTAATGTAGTCAAATCCTAATCATACATCTTTTATCACATCAATGTAGCTATTTCTTACTACCTTTGTTCTCATAGGTTACTTGATAGGGGAAACAAATGGTCCTTCATTCCATCTGAAACTTTAGGGATTTGGCCGGATCTTTTAAGAGGAGTTCAAATGAACTTTTAGGTAGTGAACTTTGGGGCCATCAACTTCTCTATGAGAAGGATCACTTACTCCCCTCCATTCAGAGATCCCTTCTGCTCCTTATAAAATAGACTTTGAATATGTATGTGGGTGTGTGTTTTCTTTTTGGCATTTTAGTGTTACCAAACCAACTCAACTCAACTCAACAAAAACTTTATCTTAACTATTTAGGGTCGGCTACATGTATTCCATTTGCCCATTGTGCTCTGTCAATGTTTTCAAAGTTTATTTCAGCCTATCTCTACCTCTCGCGTTACCATTGATATGCATCAAATCACCCCAGTCCAGTAGGTCTAAAATACTCATGTCCAAGTTACTTGAGACAATTATCCCTTATACCCCGTTAGAATGATAGAAATCTTAATCGATAATGGGTATTTCATTCCTGCTAAATGGATACTCGAGTTTCAAATATTGTAGCAATTTATTAGTTAGTGTTTGGTATCATCAATAATATAGTAAGGGAATGAATATCTATTATTTTTTAATTCTTTTTAGTAATGAACTTTATAGTAGGAAGAAAAATGATTTTAAGTAAGGAGCTTGACTTTAAGAACGAAACTAAATTTTGGGAAGGAGTCTTGATTTTGATTTTTTTCCCTTTTTAAGAATGCCCATTTAAGTTGGGTATAAGATTACCGCCATTGAGGATGAGTTTAAAATTCCCACCATAATTGAGAATGTGATTCCAATAGAAATTTTATTTCCGATGTAGATTACCTATTGATAATTATTCAAATATGATGATCTATGGATTTAGGAATGTGACTATCATTCCTAACTAATATTATTGCAATTCAAACCGAGCCTTAATTTATGTCCTTTTGGTGCTATTTCTATGGTTTCGTCTAGAAAGCACAAATACTTCCCAGAGTGGTGCAGTGGAAATGTTAGACACGAACTCGCATCGGACACAGCTGGACATGGCTAGAAGTGTCCTGAATAGTAAATTCAGTCGAACACGACTAAGACACCTTTAGGACACGACCAAAATTTTTTTTAAATGACTGTTAATTATTAAAAGGGGTGTGATTTATTTATTTATTTTTGAATATATTTTTTGTTATGTAACTTATATACTATGAATGTTAATGGATGTAATGATATTTGATGAAAATAGTGGATATTTATTTTGATTTATTTTAATTTTAATCAAAAAATTAATATTTGCTAAGTTTATTATTAATATTGTTATAATATATGCTTTATCTTTAATATATTATAATTCTATTATTATCTAAAAAATATTTTAAATTATTTTAATAGTCGTATCCTCGTCGTACTCGTGTGTCCTATATTTTCGAACTTTGTCGTATCTCGGTGTCTGTATCATATCGTATTGGATACAATACCGGAGTTTGTATCCATGCTTCCTAGGGTTTCGTGAATATACTCATTCCTAACTCTTTTCTTTTCTTACTTTATAAAACATCTATCCTTATATCATCATTTCAACCACACTTTGTTGTTGAGCATGTTTTTGGTGCTGCGGTGCTTCTAGAAACATCCATCTTTGTTTTTTTATTGTTTTTGTTTAAAGTATATCTTACCCTATGTAAATTCCTACCTCTGTGATGAATATTATTATTTTCCATGGTTGAAGGTAAAAGTATATATTTTACTTTCTTTGTATCGTAATGTTATGGGTTTGTTACACCTACAATAGCATCCAATTGGCCTTCCACCCCTGATTGCAGAGAGCTTATTTATTTTCTTCTTTTTTGTTAATCAGGTCAGGATACACAGGTTTCTGGAGAAGACTAAAAGAAAGAATGCATTAAATAATAGTCCAGAAAATGGATCTGATCCTGTAGCTAAATCACAGGAGAAATTAAGAAAGAAAGTTACTACCTTGATGAAAAAGCAAAAGGTGCAACAAGTAAGAGGAATAGTAAAGGAACAGGATGATACAAAGCCATGGGGCCAGGATGCTCAAGTCAAGGTTTGTCCTAGGTTGGGTTGAGGTGTCATTTTGCTCATGTTATCTTGTTTTTCCGCACGACTGATGCCGTTATCAATAGTTTGATGTTATAATTGAGCATGTAAACCTCCCAGGTAGGCTGCCGNCTTCCATTTCTACTTAGAGGTGATCATGTTAGTTATTCAAGTTAGTGCACCTATTGGTCGTTGTTGCACGTGTCTATGCCCATCCTAATTGTTCTCGTTGAGTTTATCTTCAATTAGTAATTATTACTCCTTACTGTCTCACACTTGCATTCATATGTAATTCTATCTTTATTAGTCTCCCCACACATGTATCTTTATATTCTCATTCAGTTTGATTGGTGTCCGTTGATTGTACAATATGCCATAAGCACCTCTTCACTTGAGCAAATATATTTTAGTTATATGTCCCATATTCTCTCTCTCTCCCTTACCGTTTCTACTTTCGTTTATGTAGTTTTGTTCCAACTTATTTTAAACCCTCTTTATTGTAGTGCTTCTCTTCAAATTTTTAATCTAGCGTTGTTGTTTTAATATCTTCAACTAAGACGATATCATCAAGAAGCAGTATAAGCATGGGACCATATCCTAAATGTATCTCAAAAATTCACCTATAACTTAGGCTAAAAAATATTGTCTTAAAGTTGATCCTCAGCAGACATTCAGTTGTTTCACCAGCGGTTGATCTTAATGTAGTCAAATCCTAATCATACATCTTTTATCACATCAATGTAGCTATTTCTTACTACCTTTGTTCTCATAGGTTACTTGATAGGGGAAACAAATGGTCCTTCATTCCATCTGAAACTTTAGGGATTTGGCCGGATCTTTTAAGAGGAGTTCAAATGAACTTTTAGGTAGTGAACTTTGGGGCCATCAACTTCTCTATGAGAAGGATCACTTACTCCCCTCCATTCAGAGATCCCTTCTACTCCTTATAAAGTAGACTTTGAATATGTATGTGGGTGTGTGTTTTCTTTTTGGCATTTTAGTGTTACCAAACCAACTCAACAAAAACTTTATCTTAACTATTTAGGGTCGGCTACATGTATTCCATTTGCCCATTGTGCTCTGTCAATGTTTTCAAAGTTTATTTCAGCCTATCTCTACCTCTCGCGTTACCATTGATATGCATCAAATCACCCCAGTCCAGTAGGTCTAAAATACTCATGTCCAAGTTACTTGAGACAATTATCCCTTATACCCCGTTAGAATGATAGAAATCTTAATCGATAATGGGTATTTCATTCCTGCTAAATGGATACTCGAGTTTCAAATATTGTAGCAATTTATTAGTTAGTGTTTGGTATCATCAATAATATAGTAAGGGAATGAATATCTATTATTTTTTAATTCTTTTTAGTAATGAACTTTATAGTAGGAAGAAAAATGATTTTAAGTAAGGAGCTTGACTTTAAGAACGAAACTAAATTTTGGGAAGGAGTCTTGATTTTGATTTTTTTCCCTTTTTAAGAATGCCCATTTAAGTTGGGTATAAGATTACCGCCATTGAGGATGAGTTTAAAATTCCCACCATAATTGAGAATGTGATTCCAATAGAAATTTTATTTCCGATGTAGATTACCTATTGATAATTATTCAAATATGATGATCTATGGATTTAGGAATGTGACTATCATTCCTAACTAATATTATTGCAATTCAAACCGAGCCTTAATTTATGTCCTTTTGGTGCTATTTCTATGGTTTCGTCTAGAAAGCACAAATACTTTCCAGAGTGGTGCAGTGGAAATGTTAGACACGAACTCGCATCGGACACAGCTGGACATGGCTAGAAGTGTCCTGAATAGTAAATTCAGTCGAACACGACTAAGACACCTTTAGGACACGACCAAAATTTTTTTTAAATGACTGTTAATTATTAAAAGGGGTGTGATTTATTTATTTATTTTTGAATATATTTTTTGTTATGTAACTTATATACTATGAATGTTAATGGATGTAATGATATTTGATGAAAATAGTGGATATTTATTTTGATTTATTTTAATTTTAATCAAAAAATTAATATTTGCTAAGTTTATTATTAATATTGTTATAATATATGCTTTATCTTTAATATATTATAATTCTATTATTATCTAAAAAATATTTTAAATTATTTTAATAGTCGTATCCTCGTCGTACTCGTGTGTCCTATATTTTCGAACTTTGTCGTATCTCGGTGTCTGTATCATATCGTATTGGATACAATACCGGAGTTTGTATCCATGCTTCCTAGGGTTTCGTGAATATACTCATTCCTAACTCTTTTCTTTTCTTACTTTATAAAACATCTATCCTTATATCATCATTTCAACCACACTTTGTTGTTGAGCATGTTTTTGGTGCTGCGGTGCTTCTAGAAACATCCATCTTTGTTTTTTTATTGTTTTTGTTTAAAGTATATCTTACCCTATGTAAATTCCTACCTCTGTGATGAATATTATTATTTTCCATGGTTGAAGGTAAAAGTATATATTTTACTTTCTTTGTATTGTAATGTTATGGGTTTGTTACACCTACAATAGCATCCAATTGGCCTTCCACCCCTGATTGCAGAGAGCTTATTTATTTTCTTCTTTTTTGTTAATCAGGTCAGGATACACAGGTTTCTGGAGAAGACTAAAAGAAAGAATGCATTAAATAATAGTCCAGAAAATGGATCTGATCCTGTAGCTAAATCACAGGAGAAATTAAGAAAGAAAGTTACTACCTTGATGAAAAAGCAAAAGGTGCAACAAGTAAGAGGAATAGTAAAGGAACAGGATGATACAAAGCCATGGGGCCAGGATGCTCAAGTCAAGGTTTGTCCTAGGTTGGGTTGAGGTGTCATTTTGCTCATGTTATCTCGTTTTTCCGCACGACTGATGCCGTTATCAATAGTTTGATGTTATAATTGAGCATGTAAACCTCCCAGGTAGGCTGCCGTTTGATTCAATTGTTGTTAGAAAAAGCCTATATTCAACCTCCAATTGATCAAATAGATGATGGTCCACCTGATATTCGCCCTGCATTCATACACACCCTGCAAACAGTCGAAACACAGTGAGTATGGTAACATTTATGCTTGATTGAAAGCTCTGTCTCNTCATGAGTGTAGCAAATAGAAAAAGAAAATCACTAGATCACTGAACCGGACAAGAATCACCTACTACACTGCTGAACCGAAGAGGAAAAGATTGCTGGATCACCAATCCGGGCTGGAGAATCTCACTGGAATGCTGAACTGGATCTGATAAGTACACTAGACCGCTGAACCGAACCAGAAAAGGGTACTGGACTGCTGAACCGAACCAGAAAAGGCTACTAGATCACTGAACTGGGCTGGAAAAACTAGTTGGATCGCTGAACCGGGCCGGTTTGACTTGTTGGATCATTGAACCGGGCCGGTTTGTGTGTGCTGGATCACTGAACCGGGCTGGTTTGGCTTGTTGGATCACTGAACTGGGCCAGTTTGACTCGCTCTGAACCCGAATCAAAACTGTCTGAACCGGTCTGAACCACTGAAATTGGGTTGAACCGAAACCAACTGGGGTTGGATCAAATTTGGGTTGACCCGAAGTGGATCGGGTCTGGGTGTTTCTTCTTCGTTGGTTAGGGTTGCAGAAAACCCTCTTCTGTGCTGACTGCACCTCAATAGCCACGCCACCACCACTAAGCTCGTCGACTGAGCAACACCACAATTGACCACAAACAACACAAACCGAACATCGGCAAACACAAGACCACCACCAACACACACCGAACTTCGGCAAACACAGTACCACCACAACAGACCACCACCAACAACACCACCACAACAGGATTCCGATAAACACAGTACCACCATAGCCAGTATCAACACCACCACAATAGTAGCACCACCACGACGACAGTACCAACACCACCATAACAGTAGCAACAGTAACACCTCTACCAACAAAATTTATTCAGAATATATATTTATGATCGTAATTGCTCTGATACCATGTTAAGTTTGAAAGATTAACACAATATTAGAGACAATATTTAGTGAGAAAGAGAGAGGTTAACAACCTAACCTAGTTCTCATACAACACTTATATTTATAGTTAACTCACAATAATAAGAATTACACATACACCCTCTTACTATTAATAATTTACATATATTACCCTAATATTCTTAACAAATGCTATAGCTGTTTTCGTTTTTATCATTGGCAATCACCGACATCACTCTGAGACAATTCCCGGAATTTGGTTACTGTATAGATAGATTATTGAGGGTTGTACTGATAGTTGACAAGACTTTGTGATGCCGGACATCTAGTATCAGATTTCATGGAATAATTAATCACGCAGAATCCAACTAGCACTAGTAGCTTAAGCAGTTTAGTTCCACCGTTTAAGACGTCAAGTAGTCACTTCGTTATTTTAGTTATGGAAGTCAAAATTGTTCACCACCGGTTCTGCCTTGATTCTAGGTCTTAGTATTAGTTGTTTTCCCATTTAATCAATTTTGCTATGTCAATTAATTTCATGTTCTAAAATAATAGGACTAGTTCATTACGAACAGGACTGTCAGCCACAAGGCAAAGTGAAATTTTCAGCAATAATATTCTTGTGGATTGATGGATTCCATCTTGTGGGTATTGACATTGATGTGTCCCTTCAACATCTTCTGTTGCATCACTTTTCCTTACCCGGTCATGCTGCATGTGCTTACAAGTTACAATTCTCCCTGTGGAAGCTGCTGTGTGGCTGGGGAAGTCGTAGATTGTTGTTGCCCTAAACAATGCTGAAGCAAAAAAGCGGATAAGTACTTTTTTCTCTATTCTTCTAATCAGACTTCCGTAGCTTATCAGAAAAAAAGGGAGTGATGGGCATATTGACATTTACACACATATATGTTGGACATTTGTAGTTTTGTTGCTGGCACATGCAGACATGTGAAGGTCGTCGCCGGCAGTATTGTAAACTGTGATGACTGGGAGATACTGATAGGATGGTTGTTAATAGTGTGTCACACATGAGACCTTCTTTGGCTTGGAATATAGATTGCTTAAGTAGGTTTGTTTACACTTTTATGGAAGTGGGAATGTTATACATTAGATATATATTAGACACTCTTTTCGGTTATGTTATTAGTGGTATTCTAGACACATATCTTATATCCATATTGTGGTTTCATGGTTGCCTTAGATATTCTAGACATTACGAAGTGTTCATTTAAGCTAGAAATCTTAGTTGCATTGACAAATGTTGGAGAGAATTTGTTTGAACCACCATATCAGGTGTGACCAATAAAATACTTTCTAAAATAAGGGACTTTATCATGTTGCTTTGAAGCAGTAATCCAAAGTCTCTTTCTCTCTTCCCCCCCCCCCAAAAAAAAAAAAATCCTGATGTAAGCCATGGTTGGTTTGGTCGGTGTTCCATATATAGTCTATAAATACAAACTTTTTTCAGTCTGTCACAAATCATTTTCGGTATCCTTCTGCATGGTTTGGAATACACTGGCAAAAGTTCTCTCCTAGGCGAAATGAAGTTATAGGTTTTCTCAAAAAGTCGGGAAGTCTTGAATTTATGAATCAGCTATCTACCTTTAAGACCAAATCAGTGGGATAGTTCAATGCAAACTATACTGAACCAATATGGCTCCTTGCCCAAGAAGCTCTGGTCTGGTGTGTCCTTTGCCCAATTAACATTGTTGCCCTCTTTCCTTTTCCCAGAAAGACTTCAGTTTCCAATTTAATTCTGACACCTTCACATAGCGGAAACAAAATTTGCTGCTCCATTTGAAAGGAGGAATTTTGAAGAATCTAAATAACCAAACCAAAACGAACGAAACAAAACCTTGTACCAACTATTTGGGGTTTACAACTTACGTGAATCCTTTTTGGCCATTAGGCTAAATCAAGTGCTATATGTTTGTTTAAATTACAAACGGGCGTACTCTTCATCACTATCTCATCATTCCATGTCAATTTTGCTCTTCCATTTCTACTTAGAGGTGATCATGTTAGTTATTCAAGTTAGTGCACCTATTGGTCGTTGTTGCATGTGTCTATGCCCATCCTAATTGTTCTCGTTGAGTTTATCTTCAATTAGTAATTATTACTCCTTACTGTCTCACACTTGCATTCATATGTAATTCTATCTTTATTAGTCTCCCCACACATGTATCTTTATATTCTCATTCAGTTTGATTGGTGTCCGTTGATTGTACAATATGCCATAAGCACCTCTTCACTTGAGCAAATATATTTTAGTTATATGTCCCATATTCTCTCTCTCTCCCTTACCGTTTCTACTTTCATATATGTAGTTTTGTTCCAACTTATTTTAAACCCTCTTTATTGTAGTGCTTCTCTTCAAATTTTTAATCTAGCGTTGTTGTTTTAATATCTTCAACTAAGACGATATCATCAAGAAGCAGTATAAGCATGGGACCATATCCTAAATGTATCTCAAAAATTCACCTATAACTTAGGCTAAAAAATAGTCTTAAAGTTGATCCTCAACAGACATTCAGTTGTTTCACCAACGGTTGATCTTAATGTAGTCAAATCCTAATCATACATCTTTTATCACATCAATGTAGCTATTTCTTACTACCTTTGTTCTCATAGGTTACTTGATAGGGGAAACAAATGGTCCTTCATTCCATCTGAAACTTTAGGGATTTGGCCGGATCTTTTAAGAGGAGTTCAAATGAACTTTTAGGTAGTGAACTTTGGGGCCATCAACTTCTCTATGAGAAGGATCACTTACTCCCCTCCATTCAGAGATCCCTTCTGCTCCTTATAAAATAGACTTTGAATATGTATGTGGGTGTGTGTTTTCTTTTTGGCATTTTAGTGTTACCAAACCAACTCAACTCAACTCAACAAAAACTTTATCTTAACTATTTAGGGTCGGCTACATGTATTCCATTTGCCCATTGTGCTCTGTCAATGTTTTCAAAGTTTATTTCAGCCTATCTCTACCTCTCGCGTTACCATTGATATGCATCAAATCACCCCAGTCCAGTAGGTCTAAAATACTCATGTCCAAGTTACTTGAGACAATTATCCCTTATACCCCGTTAGAATGATAGAAATCTTAATCGATAATGGGTATTTCATTCCTGCTAAATGGATACTCGAGTTTCAAATATTGTAGCAATTTATTAGTTAGTGTTTGGTATCATCAATAATATAGTAAGGGAATGAATATCTATTATTTTTTAATTCTTTTTAGTAATGAACTTTATAGTAGGAAGAAAAATGATTTTAAGTAAGGAGCTTGACTTTAAGAACGAAACTAAATTTTGGGAAGGAGTCTTGATTTTGATTTTTTTCCCTTTTTAAGAATGCCCATTTAAGTTGGGTATAAGATTACCGCCATTGAGGATGAGTTTAAAATTCCCACCATAATTGAGAATGTGATTCCAATAGAAATTTTATTTCCGATGTAGATTACCTATTGATAATTATTCAAATATGATGATCTATGGATTTAGGAATGTGACTATCATTCCTAACTAATATTATTGCAATTCAAACCGAGCCTTAATTTATGTCCTTTTGGTGCTATTTCTATGGTTTCGTCTAGAAAGCACAAATACTTTCCAGAGTGGTGCAGTGGAAATGTTAGACACGAACTCGCATCGGACACAGCTGGACATGGCTAGAAGTGTCCTGAATAGTAAATTCAGTCGAACACGACTAAGACACCTTTAGGACACGACCAAAATTTTTTTTAAATGACTGTTAATTATTAAAAGGGGTGTGATTTATTTATTTATTTTTGAATATATTTTTTGTTATGTAACTTATATACTATGAATGTTAATGGATGTAATGATATTTGATGAAAATAGTGGATATTTATTTTGATTTATTTTAATTTTAATCAAAAAATTAATATTTGCTAAGTTTATTATTAATATTGTTATAATATATGCTTTATCTTTAATATATTATAATTCTATTATTATCTAAAAAATATTTTAAATTATTTTAATAGTCGTATCCTCGTCGTACTCGTGTGTCCTATATTTTCGAACTTTGTCGTATCTCGGTGTCTGTATCATATCGTATTGGATACAATACCGGAGTTTGTATCCATGCTTCCTAGGGTTTCGTGAATATACTCATTCCTAACTCTTTTCTTTTCTTACTTTATAAAACATCTATCCTTATATCATCATTTCAACCACACTTTGTTGTTGAGCATGTTTTTGGTGCTGCGGTGCTTCTAGAAACATCCATCTTTGTTTTTTTATTGTTTTTGTTTAAAGTATATCTTACCCTATGTAAATTCCTACCTCTGTGATGAATATTATTATTTTCCATGGTTGAAGGTAAAAGTATATATTTTACTTTCTTTGTATTGTAATGTTATGGGTTTGTTACACCTACAATAGCATCCAATTGGCCTTCCACCCCTGATTGCAGAGAGCTTATTTATTTTCTTCTTTTTTGTTAATCAGGTCAGGATACACAGGTTTCTGGAGAAGACTAAAAGAAAGAATGCATTAAATAATAGTCCAGAAAATGGATCTGATCCTGTAGCTAAATCACAGGAGAAATTAAGAAAGAAAGTTACTACCTTGATGAAAAAGCAAAAGGTGCAACAAGTAAGAGGAATAGTAAAGGAACAGGATGATACAAAGCCATGGGGCCAGGATGCTCAAGTCAAGGTTTGTCCTAGGTTGGGTTGAGGTGTCATTTTGCTCATGTTATCTTGTTTTTCCGCACGACTGATGCCGTTATCAATAGTTTGATGTTATAATTGAGCATGTAAACCTCCCAGGTAGGCTGCCGTTTGATTCAATTGTTGTTAGAAAAAGCCTATATTCAACCTCCAATTGATCAAATTGATGATGGTCCACCTGATATTCGCCCTGCATTCATACACACCCTGCAAACAGTTGAAACACAGTGAGTATGGCAACATTTATGCTTGATTGAAAGCTCTGTCTCTCTCTCTGACCCTTTTAAGATATTTTGTTGGTTTGTTTCAATAGGAGAGGCAGCCGGAGATATGGGGTCATTCAGTGTGACCCTCTAGTTCGCAAAGGCCTGGAGAAAACTGTAAGTGGGACCTGGTTGTTCTTGCAATGGTTANTCTCTCTCTCTCTCTCTCTCTCTCTCTCTCCCTTACCGTTTCTACTTTCATATATGTAGTTTTGTTCCAACTTATTTTAAACCCTCTTTATTTTAGTGCTTCTCTTCAAATTTTTAATCTAGCGTTGTTGTTTTAATATCTTCAACTAAGACGATATCATCAAGAAGTAGTATAAGCATGGGACCATATCCTAAATGTATCTCAAAAATTCACCTATAACTTAGGCTAAAAAATAGTCTTAAAGTTGATCCTCAACAGACATTCAGTTGTTTCACCAACNTTAAATATTCTGGTTGTTGGGTTTTAGCTACGAGTGGGTCTACCATGGAACCTACTAGTTGAGCCTATGTGGGATCTCAAGTCCTCGTGTCACTTTTGCTAATGCAGTGAAATTGTCTNTAAGTGGGACCTGGTTGTTCTTGCAATGGTTAAATATTCTGGTTGTTGGGTTTTAGCTACGAGTGGGTCTACCATGGAACCTACTGGTTGAGCCTATGTGGGATCTCAAGTCCTTGTGTGTCACTTTTGCTAATGCAGTGAAATTGTTTNTAAGAGGAGTTCAAATGAACTTTTAGGTAGTGAACTTTGGGGCCATCAACTTCTCTATGAGAAGGATCACTTACTCCCCTCCATTCAGAGATCCCTTCTGCTCCTTATAAAATAGACTTTGAATATGTATGTGGGTGTGTGTTTTCTTTTTGGCATTTTAGTGTTACCAAACCAACTCAACTCNCTTTTGTATGTATTTCTAGACTGATGTTTCCAATTTCTGTTGTGCGAGCAGGCTAGGCACATGGTGATTCCATATATGCCAATGTTGATTCCTCCACTGAACTGGACAGGGTATGGTGCTCTGGGTTNCAGACCACCACCAACAACACCACCACAACAGGATTCCGATAAACACAGTACCACCATAGCCAGTATCAACACCACCACAATAGTAGCACCACCACGACGACAGTACCAACACCACCATAACAGTAGCAACAGTAACACCTCTACCAACAAAATTTATTCAGAATATATATTTATAATCGTAATTGCTCTGATACCATGTTAAGTTTGAAAGATTAACACAATATTAGAGATAATATTTAGTGNTTGCCCATTGTGCTCTGTCAATGTTTTCAAAGTTTATTTCAGCCTATCTCTACCTCGCGCGTTACCATTGATATGCATCAAATCACCCCAGTCCAGTAGGTCTAAAATACTCATGTCGAAGTTACTTGAGACAATTATCCCTTATACCCCGTTAGAATGATAGAAATCTTAATCGATAATGGGTATTTCATTCCTGCTAAATGGATACTCGAGTTTCAAATATTGTAGCAATTTATTAGTTAGTGTTTGGTATCATCAATAATATAGTAAGGGAATGAATATCTATTATTTTTTAATTCTTTTTAGTAATGAACTTTATAGTAGGAAGAAAAATGATTTTAAGTAAGGAGCTTGACTTTAAGAACGAAACTAAATTTTGGGAAGGAGTCTTGATTTTGATTTTTTTCCCTTTTTAAGAATGCCCATTTAAGTTGGGTATAAGATTACCGCCATTGAGGATGAGTTTAAAATTCCCACCATAATTGAGAATGTGATTCCAATAGAAATTTTATTTCCGATGTAGATTACCTATTGATAATTATTCAAATATGATGATCTATGGATTTAGGAATGTGACTATCATTCCTAACTAATATTATTGCAATTCAAACCGAGCCTTAATTTATGTCCTTTTGGTGCTATTTCTATGGTTTCGTCTAGAAAGCACAAATACTTTCCAGAGTGGTGCAGTGGAAATGTTAGACACGAACTCGCATCGGACACAGCTGGACATGGCTAGAAGTGTCCTGAATAGTAAATTCAGTCGAACACGACTAAGACACCTTTAGGACACGACCAAAATTTTTTTTAAATGACTGTTAATTATTAAAAGGGGTGTGATTTATTTATTTATTTTTGAATATATTTTTTGTTATGTAACTTATATACTATGAATGTTAATGGATGTAATGATATTTGATGAAAATAGTGGATATTTATTTTGATTTATTTTAATTTTAATCAAAAAATTAATATTTGCTAAGTTTATTATTAATATTGTTATAATATATGCTTTATCTTTAATATATTATAATTCTATTATTATCTAAAAAATATTTTAAATTATTTTAATAGTCGTATCCTCGTCGTACTCGTGTGTCCTATATTTTCGAACTTTGTCGTATCTCGGTGTCTGTATCATATCGTATTGGATACAATACCGGAGTTTGTATCCATGCTTCCTAGGGTTTCGTGAATATACTCATTCCTAACTCTTTTCTTTTCTTACTTTATAAAACATCTATCCTTATATCATCATTTCAACCACACTTTGTTGTTGAGCATGTTTTTGGTGCTGCGGTGCTTCTAGAAACATCCATCTTTGTTTTTTTATTGTTTTTGTTTAAAGTATATCTTACCCTATGTAAATTCCTACCTCTGTGATGAATATTATTATTTTCCATGGTTGAAGGTAAAAGTATATATTTTACTTTCTTTGTATTGTAATGTTATGGGTTTGTTACACCTACAATAGCATCCAATTGGCCTTCCACCCCTGATTGCAGAGAGCTTATTTATTTTCTTCTTTTTTGTTAATCAGGTCAGGATACACAGGTTTCTGGAGAAGACTAAAAGAAAGAATGCATTAAATAATAGTCCAGAAAATGGATCTGATCCTGTAGCTAAATCACAGGAGAAATTAAGAAAGAAAGTTACTACCTTGATGAAAAAGCAAAAGGTGCAACAAGTAAGAGGAATAGTAAAGGAACAGGATGATACAAAGCCATGGGGCCAGGATGCTCAAGTCAAGGTTTGTCCTAGGTTGGGTTGAGGTGTCATTTTGCTCATGTTATCTCGTTTTTCCGCACGACTGATGCCGTTATCAATAGTTTGATGTTATAATTGAGCATGTAAACCTCCCAGGTAGGCTGCCGTTTGATTCAATTGTTGTTAGAAAAAGCCTATATTCAACCTCCAATTGATCAAATAGATGATGGTCCACCTGATATTCGCCCTGCATTCATACACACCCTGCAAACAGTCGAAACACAGTGAGTATGGTAACATTTATGCTTGATTGAAAGCTCTGTCTCTCTGTCTCTCTCTCTGACCCTTTTAAGATATTTTGTTGGTTTGTTTCAATAGGAGAGGCAGCCGGAGATATGGGGTCATTCAGTGTGACCCTCTAGTTCGCAAAGGCCTGGAGAAAACTGTAAGTGGGACCTGGTTGTTCTTGCAATGGTTAAATATTCTGGTTGTTGGGTTTTAGCTACGAGTGGGTCTACCATGGAACCTACTAGTTGAGCCTATGTGGGATCTCAAGTCCTCGTGTCACTTTTGCTAATGCAGTGAAATTGTCTTTTGTATGTATTTCTAGACTGATGTTTCCAATTTCTGTTGTGCGAGCAGGCTAGGCACATGGTGATTCCATATATGCCAATGTTGATTCCTCCACTGAACTGGACAGGGTATGGTGCTCTGGGTTTAGTATTTTCAGGTCTTTATTTAATTTTGAAGATATGTGTGATCTTTTGGTCTAGTTTTTTTTTTTTCTTTTATAACTGAAAGATGCAAAAGAATTCTCTAGNCAATGTTGATTCCTCCACTGAACTGGACAGGGTATGGTGCTCTGGGTTTAGTATTTTCAGGTCTTTATTTAATTTTGAAGATATGTGTGATCTTTTGGTCTATTTTTTTTTTTTTTCGTTTATAACTGAAAGATGCAAAAGAATTCTCTCGCATCAGTGGTTTCAATACAACGGTTTGAGGGTTGAATTCTCTATTTTTATCAATTGAGGTGTCTGAGAGTGAAATAATGCTGCAATTTGTATCATCTGAACTGTCTCAGATTAACGCATACTGCACCACATACAGGTCATTATCGTCTGGTCTAGTTCAAGACGTTGGCTAAACTTATACATGGGGTGTGGAGCATATAATCTTCATATTTGATTAATATTTCTATATTTTGGTAGGTATGATAGAGGAGCATATTTATNACGTTGGCTAAACTTATACATGGGGTGTGGAGCATATAATCTTCATATTTGATTAAGATTTCTATATTTTGGTAGGTATGATAGAGGAGCGTATTTGTTTTTACCATCNTTTTTTTCCCTTTTTAAGAATGCCCATTTAAGTTGGGTATAAGATTACCGCCATTGAGGATGAGTTTAAAATTCCCACCATAATTGAGAATGTGATTCCAATAGAAATTTTATTTCCGATGTAGATTACCTATTGATAATTATTCAAATATGATGATCTATGGATTTAGGAATGCGACTATCATTCCTAACTAATATTATTGCAATCCAAACCGGGCCTTAATTTATGTCCTTTTGGTGCTATTTCTATGGTTTCGTCTAGAAAGCACAAATACTTCCCAGAGTGGTGCAGTGGAAATGTTAGACACGAACTCGCATCGGACACAGCTGGACATGGCTAGAAGTGTCCTGAATAGTAAATTCAGTCGAACACGACTAAGACACCTTTAGGACACGACCAAAATTTTTTTTAAATGACTGTTAATTATTAAAAGGGGTGTGATTTATTTATTTATTTTTGAATATATTTTTTGTTATGTAACTTATATACTATGAATGTTAATGGATGTAATGATATTTGATGAAAATAGTGGATATTTATTTTGATTTATTTTAATTTTAATCAAAAAATTAATATTTGCTAAGTTTATTATTAATATTGTTATAATATATGCTTTATCTTTAATATATTATAATTCTATTATTATCTAAAAAATATTTTAAATTATTTTAATAGTCGTATCCTCGTCGTACTCGTGTGTCCTATATTTTCGAACTTTGTCGTATCTCGGTGTCTGTATCATATCGTATTGGATACAATACCGGAGTTTGTATCCATGCTTCCTAGGGTTTCGTGAATATACTCATTCCTAACTCTTTTCTTTTCTTACTTTATAAAACATCTATCCTTATATCATCATTTCAACCACACTTTGTTGTTGAGCATGTTTTTGGTGCTGCGGTGCTTCTAGAAACATCCATCTTTGTTTTTTTATTGTTTTTGTTTAAAGTATATCTTACCCTATGTAAATTCCTACCTCTGTGATGAATATTATTATTTTCCATGGTTGAAGGTAAAAGTATATATTTTACTTTCTTTGTATCGTAATGTTATGGGTTTGTTACACCTACAATAGCATCCAATTGGCCTTCCACCCCTGATTGCAGAGAGCTTATTTATTTTCTTCTTTTTTGTTAATCAGGTCAGGATACACAGGTTTCTGGAGAAGACTAAAAGAAAGAATGCATTAAATAATAGTCCAGAAAATGGATCTGATCCTGTAGCTAAATCACAGGAGAAATTAAGAAAGAAAGTTACTACCTTGATGAAAAAGCAAAAGGTGCAACAAGTAAGAGGAATAGTAAAGGAACAGGATGATACAAAGCCATGGGGCCAGGATGCTCAAGTCAAGGTTTGTCCTAGGTTGGGTTGAGGTGTCATTTTGCTCATGTTATCTTGTTTTTCCGCACGACTGATGCCGTTATCAATAGTTTGATGTTATAATTGAGCATGTAAACCTCCCAGGTAGGCTGCCGTTTGATTCAATTGTTGTTAGAAAAAGCCTATATTCAACCTCCAATTGATCAAATAGATGATGGTCCACCTGATATTCGCCCTGCATTCATACACACCCTGCAAACAGTCGAAACACAGTGAGTATGGTAACATTTATGCTTGATTGAAAGCTCTGTCTCTCTGTCTCTCTCTCTGACCCTTTTAAGATATTTTGTTGGTTTGTTTCAATAGGAGAGGCAGCCGGAGATATGGGGTCATTCAGTGTGACCCTCTAGTTCGCAAAGGCCTGGAGAAAACTGTAAGTGGGACCTGGTTGTTCTTGCAATGGTTAAATATTCTGGTTGTTGGGTTTTAGCTACGAGTGGGTCTACCATGGAACCTACTGGTTGAGCCTATGTGGGATCTCAAGTCCTTGTGTGTCACTTTTGCTAATGCAGTGAAATTGTTTTTTGTATGTATTTCTAGACTGATGTTTCCAATTTCTGTTGTGCGAGCAGGCTAGGCACATGGTGATTCCATATATGCCAATGTTGATTCCTCCACTGAACTGGACAGGGTATGGTGCTCTGGGTTTAGTATTTTCAGGTCTTTATTTAATTTTGAAGATATGTGTGATCTTTTGGTCTAGTTTTTTTTTTTTCTTTTATAACTGAAAGATGCAAAAGAATTCTCTAGCATCAGTGGTTTCAATACAACGGTTTGAGGGTTGAATTCTCTATTTTTATCAATTGAGGTGTCTGAGAGTGAAATAATGCTGCAATTTGTATCATCTGAACTGTCTCAGATTAACGCATACTGCACCACATACAGGTCATTATCGTCTGGTCTAGTTCAAGACGTTGGCTAAACTTATACATGGGGTGTGGAGCATATAATCTTCATATTTGATTAATATTTCTATATTTTGGTAGGTATGATAGAGGAGCATATTTATTTTTACCATCCTTTGTTATGCGCACACATGGAGCAAAACAACAGCGTGATGCAGTTAAAAGAGTTCCGAAGAAGCAATTAGAACCTGTTTTTGAGGTTTGTAAACCTCGAGATTCCTCACTTTGACTCACGTCTTCGAAAGAGAATAATGTCATATCATAGTAGTTGCAAAAAGAAATTTGGATTTCGTGTATCCAGTTTGTTATATTTAAACTACAGGTGGAGACTATATTGTTGTTGCAATAATCCTTTGCCTCTATTTTTCTGTGATTCAGGCGCTTAATACACTAGGCATTACCAAATGGAGGGTAAATAAAAGGGTACTTGGTGTCGTAGACAGAATTTGGGCCAGTGGAGGTCGTCTTGCAGACTTGGTCGACTGTGAAGATGTGGGCAACAAATATATAAAAACTAAGATTCCCATTTTTGTGCCTTCTCTTAATTTTTAGTGAAAAAGAAGTCATCCTGGTCAATAAAATTTTATTACGTCAATTTTACTTGAATATAATAGTTTTAGGGCTGTGCTACTGGTTTTAATATTTATCTTTTTTCCAATTTGTTGCCTTTGCAGGTTCCTTTACCTGAGGAACCAGACACTGATGATGAAGCACAAATTAGAAAATGGAAGTGGAAAGTTAAAGCGGCCAAAAAAGAGAATAGTGAGAGGCATTCACAGCGGTGTGATATAGAACTTAAGCTTGCTGTAAGAAGCATTCTTATCCAAATTACTGCAGCACTGTTAAACATGATGAGGATCACGCATTAATCCCTCTAATTTTGGGAGCAGGTTGCCCGAAAAATGAAAGATGAGGAAGGCTTTTTTTACCCACACAATCTTGATTTTCGTGGCCGTGCATACCCTATGCACCCATATTTGAACCATCTTGGGTCTGATCTGTGCCGAGGCATTCTGGAATTTGCAGAGGGCCGTTCTCTTGGCAAATCAGGCTTAAGCTGGCTGAAAATACATATAGCAAATCTATATGCTGGTGGTGTGGACAAGTTATCCTACAATGGGCGAATAGAATTTACCGAGAAACATTTGGATGACATCTTTGATTCTGCAGACAGGCCCCTTGAAGGAAGGCGCTGGTGGCTGGGTGCAGAGGATCCTTTTCAATGCTTGGCAGTATGTATTAATCTTGCCGAAGCATTGAGAAGCTCCTCTCCAGAAACTACCATATCCCATATGCCTATCCATCAGGTATTGTATTCTGTTACAACTGACAGATTTTACCATGAGACATTTATCTGCAAATGCAATTATCTTTCAAAGAAATATACGAGTGTAGTTCACGNATCCATCAGGTATTGTATTCTGTTACAACTGACAGATTTTACCATGAGACATTTATTTGCAAATGCAATTATCTTTCAAAGAAATATACGAGTGTAGTTCACGTAGGTTTGGGCATGTGTTTGTCATTGCATAAAACCTTGAATCCCAACTTTTTGGCGTTCACATAAAAAGTGGGCACAACAAGAGAAATGAATTGTGTCCAGTCTTTTTATCTGTGAAACATTTTTATTCTTTCAAGGGAAATGTGAATTGATTAAATTTTGAAGGCAACTCCTGCCTTTACGGTATTGTGGTGCATGTGCATTGACGCAGACAAACCAACAATCAAATGCAGTAGGTGATGTGTCTACTTCTACAACCAAAATCTTAATCTTTTTGCCACCAAGATCTATTGTGTGCGCTTTTCACTATCAATGTCTTTGCCATAACATGGTAATCCATAGTTCGTCTGTGTTGACTAAACAAATCAAAATAATGGTAGTTCGCTGCTCTTCTCTTTGCTTTATCTAGCATTGCTTAGCCTTTTGGAGATTAAAAGTTGTCAAGTACAACTCGGATTTCATGTTCATTACAATTAGGGTTGTTAGTCGAACAAGCCCGAGCCGAGCTTGAAAAGTTTGTTTCTTAATTAAACTTAAAAAATTGTTCAAGTTTGGCTCATTTAGGAGACAAGCCGAGCCTGAACGAGCTAAAAACAAGTCGAGCCCGAGTATTTGCGCATAAACGAGTCAAGCCTATCGAGTTTGAGTCGAGCTTGTAGGACTTGTTTTCTAAATGAGCCTAAAAACTTGTTCAAATTCGGGCTCGTTTAGAAAACGAACCGAGCCTGAACGAGCCAAACCCGAACCGAACTCAAGCAAGCTCGAGTAGCTCAATTTGATTAACAACCATAATTACAATGTTATCATATCCAATTCTAATTTTTAGATTCCATTGTCGATCTTAATCTGAGGTTTTGTTCTTGTTTGTTCCTTTTCAAGGATGGTTCGTGTAATGGCTTGCAACACTATGCTGCCCTTGGAAGGGACAAGGTAATGAGCTTTCTTCGCATTGGTTGATATTAAGTGGTGCCTTTTGACCAAAGCACTTGTCAACATAAATAACCAAAGATGCATTCTTTATGGGTATATGTTTTCGGTAGCAACTATAGTTGCAGCTCATAGTCTTTTTCTTTTTCTTTTTTCTCATTATGTGTCTGATTCTGAATTATCCTATTTTCCAACATCTCTATCTGAAATTATTGGCACTGAAAATCACAACATACGAATANCTGAATTATCCTATTTTCCAACATCTCTATCTGAAATTATTGGCACTGAAAATCACAACATACGAATAGTCTTTTGATTAGTAAAGGAAAGCATCATCTTAGAAGAACATAGAGCTTAGGATGCTATTTGAGTTAATATACCAGATGGAGGCTTAACTATTAATCTCAAGGATATGTAAAATTTATCAGTCGAATTGGGAAATGGACAGTTTTGTGATTTGAATGCGAAATTATTTGAGTTTATAAGATCATTTGGACGGATATTTTCACTTCTTAGAAAGTTCCTTCAAGTACTCTTGGAAGTAGGAAAATTTATTAACTTTTCTGCTGTCTTCGTAAAGAGGTTTGTTCTGGTTTGTAATGTGTTGTATGTACATTTTCCAGGTTCCTCTCTACTTGTTTTTGTGTCTCATTGAAAATTCTTCATTTGTCCAGTTAGGAGCTGCTGCAGTCAATCTTGTTGCAGGAGAGAAGCCTGCTGACNATGTACATTTTCCAGGTTCCTCTCTACTTGTTTTTGTGTCTCATTGAAAATTCTTCATTTGTCCAGTTAGGAGCTGCTGCAGTCAATCTTGTTGCAGGAGAGAAGCCTGCTGACGTTTATTCGGGAATTGCTGCTAGGTAAGCTATTATCTCCTATGGGAATTTTTCTGTCTGGGTGTGNACGTTTATTCGGGAATTGCTGCTAGGTAAGCTATTATCTCCTATGGGAATTTTTCTTTGTCTGGGTGCGTGAGGTAACTGTAAATTGTCTTAGAAAACAATTATATGAAGCAACGGTAACCCAATTCCAGAACCTGGCTGAATGAAGAAGAATTTTTTTATTTTTTGCTTTGAACTGAAGTCAAATTGTAAAGCAGCAATTTCGTTGTTTAGTGTAATTGTTCAGTTGGATCTGGATTGTTGCCATCCAGCTGCCAAACTAGGAAAGTGAAGCTGTCTTAAAGGCACACAATTTTTGTGGTAAGATTAAAGTTTGTTTGCGATGCAGAGTTCTTGATATCATGCAGAGAGATGCAGCAAAAGATCCGGCAACTGATCGGGATGCAGTGCTTGCCAGGCTGTTAGTCAACCAGGTTTGATTTGACTTTAATTTGTTTGTAGGATTGGGTAACCAAGTTATTTACATGTACATTATTATTTACACCAATTTCATTGCTTTGTTTTCTTTTTTGGTATTCTTTCCCGCACATACTACCAGGCACCTGATTGCTGTTATGTCAATTCACACTTTTAACTAAACCTGGTTATCCTCAGGTGGATAGGAAATTGGTCAAGCAAACAGTCATGACATCAGTGTATGGTGTCACTTATATTGGTGCCCGAGACCAAATCAAGAGGAGGTTAAAGGAACGTTGTTCCATTGAAGATGATGCAGAGTTGTTTGCTGCATCTTGTTATGCAGCAAAAGTAAGCACATGCGGCTAGAACTGTGCAATATCAGTTTGGAAATTTTCTCTCTTCCCCCATAAATATAGATTTGTATTCAAGGGAGTTTTGACCTAATTGTATTTCACTGTGTGAGCAGACCACCTTGACTGCTTTAGGAGAGATGTTTGAAGCTGCACGAAGTATTATGAGTTGGCTTGGTGACTGTGCAAAGGTGCGTTTTGTTTACTAGCTTTGCTCCAAACACCAAAATTTTAGATCGTCACCATCATTTGCTGCAAAGGCAATTAACGTGTGCAACCAAGGGATCGGTATTGTGAGATTGATTGATTAAATACCCATGCATTGTTTCTACTCAATATAAAAAGCAAATAAGTAGTAACTTTTACTTGTGCAGCTCTGAAGACAATAGTTCACTCGGTGTTTGGGTCTAGAATTAGAGTAATACAATATTGATTTGTTTCTTTGTTGTTGGCATTTGGTCTGAATTGAAACTGCATGTGGCGTGTGATGTGCTCTAACAATTGGATATACGTGAGTGTTGGTGTTGAACTCTGCATATTTAGAAATCTATTCGAATGTTGCAGGTGACTACAGGGATTGTGATAGCGAGTCATCTACCTTTTCTGTTTTGCAGTTTATCCATTCCTCAATATACAAAACACATTTCCTCTCCTGATATCGTTTCCAGTTTTTATTTTTCATTTTTGAGTCTTCCATTTATGGGTTCAAGCATTGTTACCATTTTAGGCATAAAAGGCTAAGATTTTGTTATCAAAGAATACGACTGATGAGGAATACATATAAAGGTTACCTAGTGAGTCTTAAAGAAGCTAATACACTTTGCTTGATGCCATTCAGCGGGAGTATCGTAAATAACCTGTAACCTTCTATGATATGGTGAGGAGACATTGGGGCCTTCTCTCATTAGTTCAGTGGGTTATGTGGTGAGTTGGTTACAGTCAGTTGTCAAATTCTCTATAATTCTGAAAGAAAGGGTCATGGAATTAATATTTTGCTCGTCCAAGAAATTAAGAAGCCATTACATATGAGAAAGAGGAAAACTTTGTAGTGCTTTCCCTGGGGATAAGAGCACTTTGTTTCCTTCCATTGCTGGGTGATGCTTTCTAACTGAATTGTTTTAGTGCATTTTGCATTTGTTGTTTTTGGATTTTGCATTTTGAAATCTTCCTTCAAACACACTAACCAACCTGATTTTCCCTAAGCAAACATATTGCTGATATTGATAAAAAATCCAAATTTATTGGCCTAGGCCTTTTGCAGATCTCATGCTTGAATTTGTTGGCCCCACCTCTAGGATTGGTGTAAAAAATGTTTTTTTTTTCATNCCTTCAAACACACTAACCAACCTGATTTTCCCTAAGCAAACATATTGCTGATATTGTTAAAAAATCCAAATTTATTGGCCTAGGCCTTTTGCAGATCTCATGCTTCAATTTGTTGGCCCCACCTCTAGGATTGGTGTAAAAAATGTTTTTTTTTTCTTTTTTCCAGTTTTCCAATATCTTTATGACGATAGATTTCCCTCCTCCTTTTCAAATCAATATGTTCATTATGCGACTTAGATGTAATGCATGAGTTCATTCCTTGACAAGTGCATATGTTTTTGACCACTAGCGTACCAGGAGTAGTGGTATTCTTGATACTTGGGCATCATTGCTGACCAATGTTCTTGTATTCTTTTACTTTATTTTCCTTTTTTGTAAGGGTTTTGCTGGCCTGTTGGTATATTGCATTGACCAATGGCTAAAAATGTCCACATACAGATTATCGCTATGGAGAATCAGCCAGTACGTTGGACAACTCCTCTTGGGCTCCCTGTTGTTCAACCTTACCGTAAATTAGGAAGACATCTTGTAATGACTTGAGATATTCAGACTTAGCAGAGTTTCTATTATCTTTATTTTGATATCCATATTCTTTAGGAGTTAGGACATAAAACCACCAACATTCCATTTTGATTTGACATGGAGATGATGTTGTGAAACTTAATGCAGATTAAGACTTCTCTTCAGATTTTAACACTACAACGAGAAACTAACAAGGTAACTTTTCAACTTTGGTATGTTGTTGCTTCTGTAATTAGCTATATCTGGTTGTCATTACTGTGCAGCTATAAAGCACGGATACTTTAAAAGTTTCAAAGTATCGGTATTGGATACTTCTCGAATACGGATACGTGTTTGATACGACTGATAAGTATCCTAGAATTAAAAAAATTTAAATATCGGATACGTTGGGATATGTCAGGATACGCAGATGATATGTCAAGGATATGGCGGGGTATTACTAAATTTTTTTAAAAAGAATAGGGCACCAAAACAAATATGTTTTAGNCTTTGGTATGTTGTTGCTTCTGTAATTAGCTATATCTGGTTGTCATTACTGTGCAGTTATGAAGCACGGATACTTTAAAAGTTTCAAAGTATCGGTATTGGATACTTCTCGAATACGGATACGTGTTTGATACGGCTGATTAGTATCCTAGAATTAAAAAAATTTAAATATCTGATACGCTGGGATACGTCAGGATACGTAGATGATATGTCAAGGATATGGCGGGGTATTACTAAAATTTTTTAAAAAGAATAGGGGCACCAAAACAAATATGTTTGGGCCCTTTTTTGCAAAAAAAAACAAAGAAAAATTTATGAATGTATGATTTCTGAATGATTAGTTATTATTATATATCTTTGATAGATGTGTGATTCACTTTATAAATCATAATTTTTATATTAAATATAATAATAAAATTTTTAAAAAAATATATTTTATGGACATATTCTAACCGTACTCGTATCCTTTTTTTTAGGTTTTGTCGTATCGTTGTATCCGTATCCGTGCTTCGTAGTTGTANTATATTAAATATAATAATAAAATTTTTAAAAAAATATATTTTATGGACATATTCTAGCCGTACTCGTATCCTTTTTTTTAGGTTTTGTCGTATCGTCGTATCCGTATCCGTGCTTCGTAGTTGTACAATGTGGTGTAGTTACTATCATCTTGTTGCTGAACTCTACATTAGAAAAATCAAGTTCAGAAAGATTAAGATCAACATACATAACAATGCAATTTTTTGTGGTTCCTACCTTTTCTTGAAATCATAATGCGTCTTTGTTTTCCAGTTTCCCATATTCCGTAATATAGGTTTTCAAGCTTCACTTAATGAATCGTTTCTCTGGGGTGATAGGTCATGGTTAAGCGGCAGAGAACAGCTTTCCCTCCAAATTTTGTTCACTCCCTTGATGGTTCTCATATGATGATGACTGCCATTGCCTGCAAAGAGGCGGGCTTGAATTTTGCTGGTAATGTGACGTTTCTCATCTTCCTTTTCCCCCTTGGGTGCTTTGTGGTAATTCTAACTAGTCTGCAAAATTTCTGATCACAGGAGTGCATGATTCATATTGGACACATGCATGTGATGTTGACCAAATGAACAGGATCCTCAGAGAAAAGTTTGTTGCGCTCTACGAGGCACCAATCCTGGAGAATGTGAGTATCCACGCTTCTTTATGTTCAAATTGGGATGCCCATTGCCCTCTGTTTCTTCAGTCATACTTTCTAGAAAATGATTTCAGAATTGCAACAAATCAACCTTATTTGTATCTATTCTGAAAGGAATGAATTGTGTCAATAATTTGCTATCCTCGTCTAGTGGCTTGGGTTAACCATTTTTTCCAAAAAGTTATTTTGTTGTACATTGCTGCAATTGAATGGTTTTAATCACTTTGATATGTTTTTTTTTTTTCGCATGTCTGAAAGAACATCAGTTGTACTTCTTATATTCTTATTTATGCTGTGTGAGTAGTACTTATCAAATGGCCTCTTCTTTAAACTTCTGTTTGAAAATGAAAGTGAGACCCCAACTTACTGTTTTCCTTTCTCTCAACTCTCTTGTTAATTTGATTTTTAATGGTTGCTTCTATTTACAGTTGCTGGAGAGTTTTCAGACGGCCTTCCCTACATTAAATTTCCCTCCTTTACCAGAGCGGGGAGACTTCGACTTAAGGGAGGTTTTGGAATCTCCATATTTTTTCAATTAGAAGAATGAGATGCTTGATTTTGGAACTGTGCAGTGCTGACTCCGGTGGTATCTTGAACTGTGTCATTGAGTGACCAAGTGGTGGCACCTTTATATTCTTGGATTCATGGCCATGGCAATGAAGGTGGCAAGCACCCCACTTTTGTCCGGAATAAGTGGAAGAAGTAAAATAGAGAACATAATGGTAAGGAGCTTCCTTCGCGCCCACAATCCATGGATCTACAATTGTACATATGTCAGAAATGCCCTCTTCATGCTTCACGATTGACTTGGCGTACTGCTTTAGGCACTATGTCATGGTCAACAGGGTTTCAGTTGACATGCTGGTGCAATCTGCAGTTATAGTTGGAAGAGTAGCTGCAATTGGGGTGTAAATAGAGGAAATTTCTAAAGCTTCAGCGATTTAGTAGGAATATTCGATTGATGAATTGATTCAACACACAATGATGCCATATTGGCCTTCAATTCCATTACAAATGACAAGGTATGAGTCTGAGTTGGTTTTCAAGAAGGTTCAAGGGACATGGCTAAGGGGATTGTAGGTTTCATTCCTTTGTAAGATCCGATTTTGTATCCTTTGAGGTAGGATATGTACATTAGGCTGGTATTTGTTGCAAGCAGTGGCTCTCTTGTTTTATGCTCCAATTTTTTCGATTAAACATTTTATAGAAATAAGAAAGAAATAATTTTTTTGACGAGTCAAATGAGAAGAAATAGAATCAGCAATGGATTCGANAGGTTTCATTCCTTTGTAAGATCCGATTTTGTATCCTTTGAGGTAGGATATGTACACTAGGCTGGTATTTGTTGCAAGCAGTGGCTCTCTTGTTTTATGCTCCAATTTTTTCGATAAAACATTTTATAGAAATAAGAAAGAAATAATTTTTTTGATGAGTCAAATGAGAAGAAATAGAATCAGCAATGGATTCAAAATTTCACAGATTGACATTGTAATTTCTTCTTCTGGTGCTCTCCTCTCCTAACTTTCTCAATCATATTTAGTCGAAGGCAAAATAATATTTTGTTCTGTGTTCACGTCTCAATTCTGTGGTTGGACATGTCTCTGCATCTGTGTTTGTTCTTCCTTCTTGATTGTAGCAGCCAATGAAGCTTAGCAACAGTTAAATTCGGATTGGAATGGAGAGTTAAAATTTGTGCTGATAGAACTTGGCCATGTATTTGGTTGGAGTAATTAAAAGAAAAAGAGGCAGGTAAAGGCTGTTCATCAATCTAGGCCTACATTATTGTGTTAGCCAAGATCAGTGTTCCTGAACACTGGAAGCTCTTTTTTTCGTTCAAAAACGAGCACTGAAAGCTTATTAGGATACATCGATCTGGTNAAAGAAAAAGAGGCAGGTAAAGGCTGTTCATCAATCTAGGCCTACATTATTGTGTTGGCCAAGATCAGTGTTCCTGAACACTGGAAGCTCTTTTTTTCGTTCAAAAATGAGCACTGAAAGCTTATTAGGATACATCGATCTGGTGAACTAGACAACAAAATGGTTAAAGAACTTCTCATAATGCAAATAACTGATAGAGTGCAAAAGAAAAGGAGTAAATCAGCAAAACAGCAAACTGAGTGTTCATGTAAAATTTCCAACTTTCGGATGATGAAACACAGAAAAGAGACGACAACAGGAAGATTCACCCATGTATTATGATCCAATGCCAGAAGCTTTGTAAGCAATAGATAAATGCAGAGGACAGATCAGTATCCAATGAAAATTTAACACTATGGGAACTGCTAGAACTCCTCAACCTGTATATTTGAGTACCATTCACCCATGTGTTTTAGCTTCTCCAATGTCCCCTCCACAAACAATACGATTCTGAAACCAGATTTTAAATGGTCACACAGTTTGGAGCCATTTGCAACAACTGATGGGAGAAACTTTCTCCTGATCTGCTAACGACGACGCTACCGAGATTATTCACATGGGGGATGCATCTCTCTTGATTAGGGCGTAGGCATCACTGTATATTGCTACCACATTTGCAAACACCGCTAAAACAATCATAAAAATAGATAAGATCTTGTCCTTCTTTGTAGCTATGCCATGGGCATCCCTGATATATGGTGAACAGAAATCAGATGGTGAATAAAATTGCAGTTTACAAATTCGAGTTTCGAGTAAAGGTACTCACCTTAGAGCAACTGCCCCAGGAAAGATGAACCCAAGGCACACTGCAGCAGTTGCTCCAGTAAACTGGAAAGCATCCCAAATATTGGGTATGAAATTTGCACCTAAAAAGACCAGAGAAATCAAACCCATGCTAATCAGTGCAAATCGAAGGTTATCTGAAACCAAAGACCTCGCAGAGGGAAAGAGGAGGCCATCCAAATTTAGGCGAAGTGGATAGAATAGGACTGGGAAAACAAGCATGAGGTGGAGAGTATAGCTGACACGAACAACATCATTGAGCTGAGAACTATAAGGAACGCTAAGGTTGGTATCGAAGTTGGCCAGCACATCGTCAAGTGTTGAATNAGGTGGAGAGTATAGCTGACACGAACAACATCATTGAGCTGAGAACTATAAGGAACACTAAGGTTGGTATCGAAGTTGGCCAGCACATCGTCAAGTGTTGAATCGCCAAACAGGAGGAAACCGAAGAAGCTTGTCATTAGGTAAACAGCGGAGCATAGACCCAATGAAGTGCGCACAACCATTTGTATCAGGGAAGGGTCTTCAAGCTCATCCTCGATAATGTGCACTGCAAAAAAAATGTGAAAGAAAAAGACATTCTATAAACTGAAGGAATTAAATGAGTTAAATAACTCACTTCTTCTACAGCAATACAGACTATGGAAAGAAGCTACGAATGTGTAGATCTGAATTGACTAAATTGGTGCTTTATTGTCATGTAGCTCTAAATTCCATATATAGTCAACTTAATATGCTCCTCAACAGATCATACAGAAAGTTCTAACCAGAGAATTTTCTTTTCTTGTCATGCTGGGCACAAAAGGACTAAAGCTGATAAAACAATAAGTTCGTATATTGACTGAAATGTCTCTTATGGGACATCTAATGGAATTGGAATGTACAGAAATGTTGAAATAAGTGAAGTGGTATTACTTGGCATGACCGAATCACAGCTCCATTAATTCTGTGAAGACCCTGCCCCATTACCGGGATATCCCGCCCTCCACCAAAGGATTTTGGCTCACCTGCGGGGCAACCCCCCACAGTAGCCTTTACCTCTGTCCCACATCGGGGAAAGAGTCGTCTCCCCACCCCCATATAAGCCGAAGCACCATATGAGAGCAGTACCCAAGTACCACAGTGTGCTACTTGGGTACTGCTCTCATATGGTGCTTCGGCTTATATGGGGGTGGGGAGACGACTCTTTCCCCGATGTGGGACGGAGGTAAAGGCTACTGTGGGGGGTTGCCCCGCAGGTGAGCCGAAATCCTTTGGTGGAGGGCGGGATATCCCGGTAATGGGAGGAATGCCCTTGGAAGACAGAGTCCCGGTAATGGGGCAGGGTCTTCACAAATTCAGAANTTTTCTTGTCATGCTGGGCACAAAAGGACTAAAGCTGATAAAACAATAAGTTCGTATATTGACTGAAATGTCTCTTATGGGACATCTAATGGAATTGGAATGTACAGAAATGTTGAAATAAGTGAAGTGGTATTACTTGGCATGACCGAATCACAGCTCCATTAATTCAGGAGGAAAAAGTGAAATACTGAGGTAGTACCAAAGATAACTAGGCCAAGGAGCTGAATAACCAAGCCTTGAAGAGAGGCTGGGGTGAAAAGGTACACCAACAATCTTTAATCCAATTAAACTGATACTCAGCAAGGTTGCGTACCTTCAACCACTATGCAAAATGGTCCAAAACTAATGGTACATCCATGGAAAATGTTTAAAATGATATACTTCTACAGTGCTACTGCTGATGTTATATCANGTCCAAAACTAATGGTACATCCATGGAAAATGTTTAAAATGATATACTTCTACAGTTATACTGCTGATGTTATATTAGGAATACACATTAGCTTACATACCATTGAAGTGGCAGACATAGGCGGTGACAAGAACAGGGACCACTGTGAAGAGTTTCCAGACCGAATTAATATCAGAAACATCAGGGAGCAATCTGGGCACTTCAATACTTCCATTCACCAATTTAACAATTGTGATTCCTGCAGTGATGACTAGGAAAACAATTGCCAGTGCAACTGCCAATGCAGATGTGAATCTCAATGAATCTGCAAAAACAACAAAAAATGTTGTTTACTATCAAAATCTGCAACTTCTTGAGGATTGCAGTGCTTTGGAATAGAGCCTCAATTATGAAAAAGTTATTGTTGTTAGTTCCTAATAAATTTGGTAGATTTGAACAGAAGTGTATAGCTTCTAGTTTCCAGCATTTCGGTATGTGGGAGAAGTCTCAAACCATTGAATATCTTTAAAATAAAACTCCATGTGTTCAAGATGTTATTACTTTTTTCTTCTGTTTTGCTCCATTAATGACATGATAGACATATGAACAGAACACTTGCTCTGATTTGGTGAAAGAAAATGAAAAGAATGCCTTTATTGCTAGTTTGCTATTCAATATTGGCATGAATGAATCAGGTGAAATTCAAGATAGGTGCAATCACTTACAAGTAACAGATAAACTCAACANACTTGCTCTGATTTGGTGAAAGAAAATGAAAAGAATGCCTTTATTGCTAGTTTGCTGTTCAATATTGGCATGAATGAATCAGGTGAAATTCAAGATAGGTGCAATCACTTACAAGTAACAGATAAACTCAACATCTATCTCTACTATATATCAAACTTAGAAGTATACAATTTGCAACAAACTAACTATCCAAGTATCAAGAAACAATTTTTTCGCCACTTAAAAGAATTAGTTGTGTGTAGCCAATAGGAACTAAATGATGTACAATTACTGGTACCAAGAACTAGTGAACTTCAATCTAATTTTGTGCTCGAGTAGAATGTTCAACAATGGCATAGATATATTCTCTTACCGATACGCTTAAAACTTGCCAATGGAGCAAACACGCCAAGGGTTGTTACAACGANAAGAATTAGTTGTGTGTAGCCAATAGGAACTAAATGATGTACAATTACTGGTACCAAGAACTAGTGAACTTCAATCTAATTTTGTGCTCGAGTAGAATGTTCAACAATGGCATAAATATATTCTCTTACCGATACGCTTAAAACTTGCCAATGGAGCAAACACGCCAAGGGTTGTTACAACAAGGACAAAGGCACGCCCATTCCACCAGTGTTCTCCAAACCATTCTTCCAACAAACCAGCATGGTGAATACCACTTGAAGATGACCCTGATAGCACATCACCTACTCAAAACAAACAGGAAGAACCCATAAAAAAAAACGAAACAAAAAGCCTGTCCAATCCACGAGACTCTCCATTGTGGAGTCTGGAGAGGGTACGCCACCAAGGCCCACCCTCGAACTCAAATAGAAAACTAATCATTTGCATGCAATTTATATGAACCTTGAAATACAGAATTATATAAACCAGTAGTCCTTAGACTCCTTACCGATGATGATCATATAGACAATAAGTATACCGATGCTATTGATCACCACAGAAACTTGCAACAATCTTCTTCCACCATTCCCAAATGCCTCATGCATAACACCACCATAAGAAACTGACCCACTAACCCTACTGAACCTTAACAACAACCCCACAGAAGCCTCGGTCAATACAGCAATGAAGATGATCATGGCCATGCCAAGCCCAAGACCTAGCACTTTCATGGCGGCAGGCAATGCCATTATACCAGCACCAATAATGGTGGTGGAAAGATTGAAAACTGCGCCTACAAATGATGCTCCATTGATCTCTCCTTCAATTCTTCTTCTTCCAAGATCAGTGTCCCCAATTTTTTGGGGAAATAACAGAGGGACTTGTTCATCATTAGAAACAAGAGAAAAATCTTTCTTGTTCTTTCTTGGTGAGTTCTGGGTGTTCTTGTTCTGTTCATTTACAGCTTTGATCTCCATGGTTTTGAAAAAATGGAGATCAAGGTGAAATGGGTTTGTGAAATTTTGTAGAAGAAGGTATATATGAGAATGTTTGGATATCTATGGGCAGATAGAATAATGGCTTCATGAAAGACTACGTTTGGTGGTGGTTTTGTCAGCGTTCTTATCAGTGGAAGGATATGATTGGTCTTTGGTACCGAAATAGACTCTTGGAGAGCTGAATGGGCGGAAACAAACTTCGTCGTGTTCTTCTAAAATATTTTGAGTTTAGACCCAATCGAATTCGATTTGACTGTGGAATTGCTGTGGCTTTCGTGGCGAACATCAAAAGTTTTGTTCTTTTCTTGTTGCAAATCTGGTCGAGTGGTGAGGCTTTATGATAAAAAAGACAAGTGGTGAGGCTTTGAGTATATCTTGATGAGCATTATTAAGTGGGTTCAAACTTGTCGTGCCCCCCTATCTTATAGTGACTGATTAAATAACAAAGAGTAAATTATACTTATAATTTTTAAATTATTATTTTTGTATCAATTAAATTTTTAATTTTTTTTTGTGTTAATTGAGTTCTTAAACTCTCTAACTATGTCAATTGAGCTCTTTTGTCTGTCTCCATTAGAGTGTGTTATTCATGTGACTATATGACACAAAAAGATAAAATAGTTCAATTAATACAAGTAGAGAATTTATATGCTTAATTAACATAAAAGTTATAATTTGAGGGTCATATATGTAGTTTACTATGATCATTTCACGTGACACACTATTTCACTTTTTGTTAGAAAACGGAGGCAGACAAAATGATATAATTAGAGAATTTAGGGACTCAATTAACAAAAAAAAAATTAGGGATTTAATTGATGTAAGAGCCNCACTTTTTGTTAGAAAACGGAGGCAGACAAAATGATATAATTAGAGAATTTAGGGATTCAATTAACAAAAAAAAAAATTAGAGATTTAATTGATGTAAGAGTCGTAATTTGAAGACTATATGTATAATTTACTTTAAAAAAAAGGTATAGCTTCATTAGGAATATTTTAGGCTAGGCAGTTGGATAACTTTTTCTCCAGAGTTGGGATTCGTCAAGTATAATTTGAACGAATAACCTAATATATATACACACACACACATACTAGTTATTGTCGGTATTTGAAGGCACAAAATAATAAAAAAAAATTATCAATTATAAACATATTTGTATTCACACCTAAAAATAAATCACAAAATATAAGAGAAAAAAAAAAATTTAAGCACTAGTTGTAGTAGAGGTAAGTAGTGGTACTAGTGAGCGGTAGTAGTGGGAGATAATTCTGTTTATGATGGGCAATGAAAATCGTGATGGCGGCAACAGCCATGAATGGTACCTGTGATGGTGATGATGGGGTCATGGGTGATGATGATAGTAGTGCCAATCATGAGCGACAGTGGTGGTGGTGGGTTATGGTAGGGGCGGTGGTGATGGTGGTGGTGGGCGACATTGGGTGCTTGTGAGTAACAAGATGTGGTGGGTGGTGGTAAGTGTAGTGGGGGTAGGTGACAGTGGGGGTGGCGACGATGATGAACGATGATGGATGGTGTTAACTGTAATGAGAATGGGTAACAATGAATGACGAGGGTGGTGGGCGATGATGGGCAATGGTGGGTTGTGGTAATAGATGGTAGTGGGCAATGATAATAGTGGTGGGTAACGGTGACGGTGGAATAATGTTAGTAATGATAATAAATATGATAATGATGATGATGAGTGGTGGATGGTGATGATGGCGATGATGATAATGGTGGTGGTTGTAGGAGATGTGGCGACGGTGGCAGTGGGGCGGCTACGGCGACCGTGATAGTGAAGTGTTTTGTAAAAAAGTTGTTTTAGAGAAGTAGAAATTATTATTATTATTTTTTTTACTTTTATTTACTTATTTAAGTGATAAAATTATTTTTAACTTATTTGGAAGTAATTAAAAAAAGTTGTTCGAAACACTACTTTTTATTTTATTTTTTATAAGTCTTATAACACACCTTTGAAAAGTTACTCAAAATATACTCTTAGAGGAGTCTATTTTTTCTATTAAATTTAGAGAGTTAATTTTAGTCGTCAGATTAATTTTAAAATAAAATTTAAAACGATCTAAACTGTGAAAGTAAAAATCATTTTTTATATTATACTTTATTTTATATATTAGTTATTGCTCATGCCTGAAGGTCAGGAGTAATAAAAAAAAATTGTCAATCATAAACATATTTATATTCATATCAAAAATCAAATCACAACATAGAGGAGAGAGAAAGGGATTAAGCACCATTTATAGTGGTGGTAGACAACAATGGTTGTGGTAAAAGACGGTGATGATTGTGGTGAATAGTGACGACCATCGTGGTGGTGGTGGTGATAGGTTTTAGGTGACGATGATATATATTTTTATACATGGATTCATAATTCGTTATATAATATTTTACAGATTTAAATTTGAATACACCAAAAATTTGGTCCATAATATGTATATATTTTTTATATAAATATTAAAAAAATTAATTAATTATTTGAAGAAATTTAGTTCAAATTTAGATACAATTTGTTAAATTTTAGTTAAATTAACTTATTCAGATCGAATTTTCATATTAAATTTCAGATTGTTAGACGGATTCGAATTTAGATCATAAAAATAAAATTTATCAAATAATCAGATGAGATATAAATCAACTTTAAAATTACATTCAAATTCAGATGAATCTAAATCCGATCCGCTGATATCCATTCGAGAAGGGTGGCCAAAATAAAACGTAATAAGGAGCCCCAGCACTGATCCAAAAATAGACCAAAGAGAACCATATACACCTTGGGCTGGAGATCTTGTGGACTGGGAGATCTGGTTGATGAGACCTTTCAAACCTTAGGGCCAGCCCGAGAGCCTAATCCGTAGTCCAATTAACCAACCTGCATAGAGCCATAGAGTTTCGCAAAAAGTATAATTCATGTCCAATTTTTTCTACAATGGGGCCCAAAAAATTGGCAGGTGAGCAAACATGCATGCACGTGTTTACTTGTGAAGTTTTTTGTAAGGTTGTGTAGGGGCCAATAGCAGTGGACATGTGAGTTGGTTGTCCCTTGGTCAGAGATGTATGGTAAAAGATATTTTTGTAATTGTGTTGCATTTATTTGTAGCACTAACATTGTATGATAATTGTGTGGTCGCTTCCTCTATAGTCTCTATACTCTTGCTCGATTCATTGTAGTTTTGGTGCGACTCAACATTTTGCATCGATGGATGATAAAGTTGATGTGGATAAGAGCTTCAACTTTTTAATTGGAATGCATGCTAGTTGTTAGGAAATATGGAAGAGGTTGGCCGTAACACCCTATTTGTTCCATGATTTATGAGTCTACTGGAGCTATCTATTTTGATCAATTAGCCAAAATTTTGATCGGATACGAAATCACTGGTACCCTATTTAGTGGTATTTTTATGAAAATTCTATTAATTGTTGTCAGATTTCTATTCAAGATCACTACAGTTTCTTTTCTGGTGTCTGTAGGATGGACGACCGCCTATAGGTGATAGGGGAGGGTGGGTGGTGCCGTTCAGATTGCGGCCAATCTTCCTATGCCCAAGACCTAAGTGTTTGTTATATAATATCAGAGCTACAACAAAGTATGAAAAAATTACAAAACTAGCCTTTACAAGTGTGGAGAGTATCCGTGACAATAATAATTTTGAATGATAGAGAAGTTCTTATTAAGGGTAGAATGGGTGAGAAAATTTCAAGGCACTTGAATAGGGTGCCCAATTTCACCAATGATTTTACCATCTAAAAATCTCTCATAAACCTACCAAACTCTAGTTGTAAACATTAATATCATGGTAGTTCACACCACACACCAAGGATTTGACCCTGTAACATCTATCATTATCTACCAACCTCAAGTTATGCATATAAATATCATATAGTGCAAATATACCACTATATCGTATGCTTTCAAATGCAATATTGAAATATTATTTTTTTCTCAGACGGCATCTAAGTGACAAATGTGAAAGCCCTTACAAGTTATAACCGGCCAACCAGCCATTTGTCAAAGCAAATCTTTAGATATTTTGTTGTTAATGTGCAAGGGTTCCGGGATTTGATTCTTAATTGCCGGTCATGGATGAGGTTGATGGCCATTTTCATAGTCATTATAGATGAAGATTGCCTCTTTGCACCGTTGAGGGGGTGTAAATTCGTGTTGTGTGATTTACATGTCGTGTTTATGTCAAGACCCACGAAAAAAAAATTTATTTAGTGTATTTTGAGTATCAAACATTAGTGTGGACCATTTATTATGCGTATTTAATAATCGTATCGTGTCAGATTCGTGTCAACAGGTGGGGTCAACACCACACTCTTCTTAGGTGTCTTTTGTATATTTTGTGAAGCCTTTGGCTATGTATATTTTGCATACTATCAATACAACTTTTACTAACGCAGAAAAAAATGGTATAAAGGAAGATCATATAACCAAAAGTTCCAAAGCTTTTGAAGACTGCAACACCTTTATAACAACTATTCCCACACCATGTCAACAAATCTATGGATGTCACAAATTTGATCACGTTTGCAAGTTTCATCGATCTATATACAAGTAATAATTGGGTGGGTCCTTTTCAGGTTCATGTGCGTGTTGGGTTCAACTGCAATTGACAAAGTAGAAAATGCAGTCTTAATACTACCATACATCAAAAATAAATCAACACTAACAGTGACAGAAATTATTGGTATATCTCTTTCTGTTTCAATGACGTTAACAAACTATGATAAACAACTACCTATATGTGTGTATATATATTCAGATTTCTCGACAGCAATTTTCATTAAAGAGGCATAGTTTTAGAGGTTCAGAGAAATATAAGACTAGATGTGTGTTCGGGGATAAGTTCGGATTCATAACATTAGTGGTGGCATATCCTCCGCTAAAACCTCACCTAATCAAACACACCTGTAGTTTTTGTCTTTGGGTCTCCAAATATACCAATTGTTGATAATCTAGTGAGCAATTTAACTTTATATCTGACTTTTCTATATCAAAATCTGCCGTTTTGATCGCAACTTTGTGAAAAGCCTTTTTGTTTGTTTTTCCTTTGTTCTGGGCATCTCTTGACGGCCATCAATCTGATTGTTTGTAGCTCTTGTGTTTTAGCATCCTACAAACCTCATCAATTATTTTCTTCAAGACTGCGTAAATCAACACAAGGCTGCAACTTTGTTCGGTTGTGACTACTAATCAACTTGATAATTTAGAACTTGTCTCATAAACAGTCGAAGCACATAAACTAAATCATTCTAAATGTCATGAGAAATAAAAATTGTTGTCTATTTGTTTTAGGGAGGTCAAATGAGTAGCGTTGTGTCATTTTCGAATCGGGTCATGTCATATTCAAGTCGCGTCATTTTGGATTTGTGCAGTTTTTGTGTACTCCGTGAACCGAAAAACACGAGACTAGCATGCTCAACTCAATCCACCATGAGTAGGCCCTCATAAATTACATATCTACTTGATCTATACCCCACCAAAAGCAAATCAAAAACCATTTCTTCAAATATCAAGAAGAAAAAACAGAAATTTTTGCATTGTGTTATTCCTATTTGATAGTAACTCGATCTATTTATTAATCATATTAATTGGTTGTAACTCCTATCATTGTCGGGCTCGTGTTTGTTGACGTGTCATGTCCAAAATTGACACCCCTAAACTTTCTTCTCCCTTTAAACTATGTATATATATATAATTGAAATTCTATAATCCAACTCAACTTAATTCAATTCAACCTTTATCCAAACTATTTGAGGTCGGTCGTATGTTCCCAACTCGCAACAGAAATGACAAAAATGAAGTGTTACAAAGTTTGTGGTATAAGATAGTCACATAGGAAGTGGGAGGTTTTAATCGGTCTTTGTTCCAGAAAAGCACTGGATTGGTTTGTTATGAAGATTTAAAAAAAAACNATATATTCAGATTTCTCGACAGCAATTTTCATTAAAGAGGCATAGTTTTAGAGGTTCAGAGAAATATAAGACTAGATGTGTGTTCGGGGATAAGTTCGGATTCATAACATTAGTGGTGGCATATCCTCCGCTAAAACCTCACCTAATCAAACACACCTGTAGTTTTTGTCTTTGGGTCTCCAAATATACCAATTGTTGATAATCTAGTGAGCAGTTTTAACTTTATATCTGACCTTTCTATATCAAAATCTGCCGTTTAGATCGCAACTTTGTGAAAAGCCTTTTTGTTTGTTTTTCCTTTGTTGTGGGCATCTCTTGACGGCCATCAATCTGATTGTTTGTAGCTCTTGTGTTTTAGCTACAAACCTCATCAATTATTTTCTTCAAGACTGCCTAAATCAACACAAGGCTGCACCTTTGTTCGGTTGTGACTACTAATCAACTTGATAATTTAGAACTTGTCTCATAAACAGTCGAAGCACATAAACTAAATCATTCTAAATGTCATGAGAAATAAAAATTGTTGTCTATTTGTTTTAGGGAGGTCAAATGAGTAGCGTTGTGTCATTTTCGAATCGGGTCATGTCATATTCAAGTCGCGTCATTTTGGATTTGTGCAGTTTTTGTGTACTCCGTGAACCGAAAAACACGAGACTAGCATGCTCAACTCAATCCACCATGAGTAGGCCCTCATAAATTACATATCTACTTGATCTATACCCCACCAAAAGCAAATCAAAAACCATTTCTTCAAATATCAAGAAGAAAAAACAGAAATTTTTGCATTGTGTTATTCCTATTTGATAGTAACTCGATCTATTTATTAATCATATTAATTGGTTGTAACTCCTATCATTGTCGGGCTCGTGTTTGTTGACGTGTCATGTCCAAAATTGACACCACTAAACTTTCTTCTCCCTTGGAACTATGTATATATATATAATTGAAATTCTATAATCCAACTCAACTTAATTCAATTCAACCTTTATACAAACTATTTGAGGTCGGTCGTATGTTCCCAACTCGCAACAGAAATGACAAAAATGAAGTGTTACAAAGTTTGTGGTATAAGATAGTCACATAGGAAGTGGGAGGTTTTAATCGGTCTTTGTTCCAGAAAAGCACTGGATTGGTTTGTTATGAAGATTTAAAAAAAAACAAGTTCTTTAAATTCTTTAGAGGGTTGAACCAAATTGGTACGCCTTTGACAGTGTCAAACTTATATAATATCCAAGCTTCAATAGGTTAATGCAGGTGGAGGTCCCTTTTATATTCAGGGATGATCAGGCTTATTTCGACAAGCTTGTATTATAGCAAGGACTCATTTCAGCTGTTCTCTTCTTCCATTGAGGATGGGTTCTTTCTCAATGGAGGAATTTGTAGGGAACGGATCTCTGAAGAAAATTCTTCCAAAGCTGTTAGAGGAAGGCTGGGATGATGTCCCATCCTTGAAGATTATGAGTCCAGAGGATAAGAATGTGATAAACATGACCCAACAACAAAAGGTTGGCTTACCATCAGAATCAGTTTATAATGTTATTCAAGAATGTTATCGGACTATCATCCTGAAGTTCTTTTGTTTAGCTTAATCGATGTTTGAATTTCTAATGATCATCTCCCTGATGAAAACATTTTCAAGAAAATTTTCTCTAAAGAAAAAATTAAATAGTGATCAAAGTTTAATTAATTTTATTGGGTTCCTTAACAGTCATATCATAAGCTAAATTTCTCTCTATATTTTCTCCTTATGTTTTCAGTGTAAAAATCAAGGCCTAAAGTGATGGTTCTCTTCTACTTATCAAAAAATTATGTGCATCATTACTAAGCATGATCTCTAAATGTTTTTCTTTGTTTAACTCAAGGATGCGCTAGAAATCAGGACATACCTTCATGATCGTGCTCTGATGCAATATGGGGACAAGCTAGAAGCCTCAAGAAAATGTCTTCCAGATCTTATTAACTTAAGCATGTCAGATCTTTCTTCTCAGTTTGGTATGAAAAGAGGCCACATCGTTCGTTTCATTGACAGAACCAGTGCATGTGTATCAGATCCTTTGCCGCCATCATACACTCTCCAAGCAAGGAAACCAAGCATGATACCTTCAAGAAACAACAGTATCTACGAGGGTGAATCTGTGACAGTCAACTCCAGAAAAATGCAGAGTATGAGGAGATCCCTTGGAAGAAGCAGTGCAGCTTTTGATGTATCCCATGAGAAATTCATGGCTACTTTCAAGATCAAAGATGGGCATGTCTTTAAGGGGATTGTGGCTGCGATGCCTGCTGAGCCGAGGGCATGTGGTTGCATACAGCCTCCCCCTATAGTTGAGGATGTTGCTCCATATCCCGCTATTGAGAATATCTCGATTCAAAAACTTACTCCTGAATATAAGATTGGAATGGAGCGTCTGGTGAAAACAAAGGCACCTCCCATGAAGGCTTCAGAATTATGGCGAGATAAACCAGCTGTGCTCCTCTGCATACGCCGCCCTGGGTAATTTTTTCAGTGCACTCTGCATTTACAAAGTCTTCTTTTGTAAAATAGGTAATGTAAGAATATGGTAAAAATTGCAAATGCTAGAAGCCCTCGTGCATTGATGTGTTCAGGATAGTATATTAGGTGCATTGCAAATACATTGCCAAAACCAGTGGCACATCATTAGGAAAATTTTATAAGAAGTATCTGGTAATTAGGAGTGAGAAGTATATGAAACAAGTTCATCATTCTAGTTGATCCAACCACAAAACAAGCCGATGCTAGAGAACATGATGATAAAAAAAAAAACACTTCACCCAACAATTGTTTTTGGGGGAAAATGTGTATCTCGTAAGATATATGTAACATCCCATGTTGTAGTACAAGTTTTTTTTCATGACTAGAAGTGAACTCTATGTATTAATACCTGTGTATTTTGCACCTACATCGGAGAACAGATGCATCATGTGCAGAGCCGAAGCCCACAAAATCTATGCCCAGAAACCCATATTTGATGCACTTGGAGTTCAACTATTTACAGTTCTTCACGAGCACATTGACACAGAGGTACCCTGTCCCAAAATTCTTCAATTTTCTCTTCAATTGAGCCCTACATTCCTCAATTTGCTCTTCAATTGAGTGATATTTTCTTTAATGATTCAAGGTAAAGGATTTCTGGCCCCGATATTGGGGTGGCATTGTAATCTATGATGCGGGAATGGAATTTTTCAAAGCTCTGGGTGGAGGGAAGCTGCTCAAGGACAAGTTCATATCCGGATTTCTGTTCAATCCTCGAGCTATTGCAAATTACAAACGTGCAAAAGCTACAGGAGCGGAGCAAAACTTCAAAGGAGAAGGTGAAACAAAAGGTGGTCTCTTTATAATTGGCAGAGGGAGGAGTGGAATAGCATACCAGTTTATAGAAAGGAATTTTGGAGATTGGGCGCCTCTCGCTGAAGTCATTGAGATTTGTTCTCGGCTGCAGGTTGTTCTTGTAGATTTCTCTAATCCTGTCATCAGCTTCTGTCCAGTGAAATATTTATTTTAATTTACATTTTTTTCTCATTTTTTGTGCAGAACCAGCAACAAAATATGGAGCCCATCAGATCATCACAAGAATATGAAATGGATATTTCTTGTAACTCCAGCATATCCAGAGTACCTGTTGTATAATTCTTTTCTCCAGTTGAAATGGATATTTATTTGTCCCTTGTATCAGTTCAGACTGTCAAAAATATATGGTTTTCCTTTATTTTTGATGTAGCTATTGAATATATAGAATAGTTACAAATTTGTGGAGGGAACATAGAATCCAACATTTTAAAATTGACACGTGCACC